CTGTTCCAAACACGAATTGATCTTTTCCTCCCTTTATTTAAGTCTTCTTTAATTTTCCTAGTAAGATTTTGTGGTTTTCAATGTGAAGCAGCAATTGATTCACCACAGCCCCAATGAGGCAGGGGACTTCTGGCGGTCAGAATACTAACACTTGATGGATAAGAAGTATAATAAGGGAACTGCAAAAATGTGGGCAGAAAAAAATGATTAAAGGTCCCACCAAGTAAAGCAAAAATTTCAAGAATTTTAAAGTGGCCAGCAATAACGGGGTGTATAACGTATTGTAAGATGCAGACAGCAAATGGCCTTGTGCCCTGCCAGCAACAGGGATGCCAGGAACTCTGGAGAGTATTTGCATAATGTAACCTACTGTGGACTGTTGACTCAGCACCAATTTTTCATGAGGAGACTGTGACTGTTAACTGAGGCACGATGTTTGTCATCTTTAAAAGTGAAGAGCAGGTTAGGCTGAACCCAGGCCAGGATTGCCTTCTGGGCTCTCCTCTCCCTCTTCCATTTCTGTAACCTTCTCCAACCTGCTGGCACTACCTCCTCGGCACCATCCCATTTCCTCACAGCCTTCCTGTTGCCACCCACAGTTAGGCCTGCCTTATCCTATACTTCTCCATAGCTCCATACGTGGACCCCCCCAACCCTCCCCCCTCCCCATCTCCTCCATTTATATTTAGGGTATTCAAATGTTCAGAGAAAGAAAGTAGATAGAGGATACACTTAGTACACATTACATGTGTATTAAATGACAGACAGCTAGGTAGCTATTTCTCAAATTAGGGTCCAAAGACCTAATCCTAGAGGTTTGAGAGGTCCACAGGAATTTGGATAGTAATAATTTATTGAGCACTTACATGTTCCAGGAGCTGTTTGAAATACTTTACATGTATTTAGTTTCACTATAACCCTCTAAAGCAGATGCCCTTATGTCCATTTAACAGATGAGCAAACTTAGCAACACGCCCTTATCCCCATCAAAGAGATGAGCAGTCATGGAAAGGTTGAGTTATTAGCTCAAGGTTATACATCTAGTAAACGGTAGAGTGGGGACTCAAACCTAGGCAGTCTGGCTCCAGAGCTAATGATCTCAACCACTTTGCAATGCTGTCATCTGGGGCTTGACTGGGACTAGGTGGTCCAAGATGGCCTCACGCATGTGCCTGGTAGTTAGCTGCAGCTATTGGCTGTTGCCTCCTCCTTCATGTGGCCTTTCTAGCAGGATACTCCGGACCTTTTTATGTGGCAGCCAAATTCCAAGATTGTACCATAAGTCATGGAACAGATGGGCTTTTTTTTTTTTCCCAAAACCACGACATGATTATATTTTAATACAAAACCAAAATACAAAACACCATAGTAAATTGATGGCAATAAAATATGGTATTTCATTTGCATTGCACGATAAATGGTTAACATCCTTTCATAAATGAGTTCTTAGAAACCAGTAACAAAGTCATTGATATACCAAGCGAAATGATAAAAAAAAAAAGAAGAAGAAATAACACAAGTGACTAGTAAGGATTAAGCATATATGTAGATAGGCTTATAGACCAAATTAAGATGCTTGAATCACATTGTTTATGTGGCAGCTTTAAAACATGTCCCCAGGGCCTCCCTGGTGGCGCAGTGGTTGAGAATCTGCCTGCTAATGCAGGGGACACGGGTTCGAGCCCTGGTCTGGGAGGATCCCACATGCCGCAGAGCAACTGGGCCCATGAGCCACAACTACTGAGCCTGCGCGTCTGGAGCCTGTGCTCCGCAACAAGAGAGGCCGCGATAGTGAGAGGCCTGCGCACCGCGATGAAGAGTGGCCCCTGCTTGCCACAACTAAAGAAAGCCCTCGCACAGAAACGAAGACCCAACACAGCAAAAATAAATAAATTAATAAACTCCTACCCCCAACATCTTAAAACGAAACGAAACACGTCCCCAAATTCTTTGACACTGTTTCCATTGAGAGGTGGAGGTCCATATCCCCTTCTCTTTTATATGGGCTGGTCTTAGTGGCTTGCTGGTAGTTAGCAGAATACAGTGGAAGTGATGCTCCATTACTTCTTAGGATAAGTCATTAAAGGCCATGAACCTGGTTCTTTTCAGACACTCGCTCTCAGGGAAGCCAGCCGCCATGTGAGAAGTCTGACATGTTGGAGGGGGTGTGTGAAGGCACTCTGGTTCACGGTCCCAGCTGAGCTTCCAGCCAACCAACAGCCAGCCTCAACTGTCAGCCACATGAGTGTGCCATCTTGGATGTCCAGCCTAGATGAACCTTTAAACGACTGCAGCTGCAGTGACATCCGATAAGAGACACCAACACAGAACTGCCCAAGCAAGCCCTTCCTGAATTTCTATTTCCTGAATTTCTATTTCTACAAAATCATGAGCAAAATAAACTGGTTATTTAAGCCACTAAGTTTGATTTAACATGTTCACTTAAAGAGCAGCAACAGTTTATCAACCAATTTAAAACAGAATGAGAAGCAAGGAGAAAGAAAAGGAGTAGATAAACAAGCTTAGGATAGGGTATAAGCAGGGTGGAAGGACCATAGCACTTAAAACCACAGATGGCATGGTTTTAAGGACCGGAGTGGAGGGTAAGCGAGAGGTTTTGGCAGACTGAACAGGTCTGGAATCGACATACATCTGACATACATCTGAGTGATACAGAAGCAAGTGTGTCTGGTCATAACTGTAGCTGGCCATTAGCTGCCTGAGCAGCTGGGGATTTATCTGCTTTTCTTGTGCAGAGACTACATGAGGCCACAGTGGGGCTATAATGGATATCACTAGTTGGTGGTCAATTTAGGAATGACACAGTTGTCAGTTGAGAGGTTGTATGATTCATGCCTTACTAATATTTAAAGTTTACTTGGTCTATCTCCTTCTATCTGAAGTAGCACTTTCATTTGTTCCATCCTTTTTGTCTATGTTCAACACATATCCGTTTACTCTGCGTGTAACATGTCTCATAAGCAAATTGTGTCTACATTTTTGTTTCTCTTATTTTCTATAGCAGGACTGAATATTCATAAAGCAAACACATTACAGCAAGCCCCAAGGAACAAGCACTTAGAGCATGGCTGTGATGTCCCACTTATTGGCTAAAGCAAGTCACGTGGCCGAGCCCACAGTCATGTGCAACAGGTCTACACAAGGGAGTGGATACCATGAGGCATGATTATTGGGACCACTACTGAAACAATCTAACACTAACACATAGCTAGGAAGTGGTTGATCCAGTTATCAAATTTTCAGCAATCTGTTTCTGGAACCCAAACACAAAACTGGTGTCCTGGAGACTGCTGGGAATTCCTACTCAAGGGCTTTTTCAAACCCCTCTTCCCAGGTCCCAGCCCAAGCCCAATGAGTCAGAATCTCTTGGGGGTAAAAGGGATATGGGGGGGGGTTGGGTAGTGGTGGTAGAAATCCCAAGAATTTAAATAACTCTGTAGAAGATTCCAACACACACTGGGAGGTGTAGGGGGTTTCAAAGACAAGAAAATCTCTACCCTCAAAGAGCTTCCATTTTCCACAGAGAAAATTCTTGTCATTATTACACTAGAGGCACTGCCCTGAAATTTAAAAATTTAAAAAACTGCTTTCCATGTTTAAGTTAGAGCAGTGGTTCTCAAATTTTGTGTGTATCAGTATTAACTGGAGGGCTTGTTAAAACGCAGACAGGGGGCTTCCCTGGTGGCGCAGTGGTTGAGAGTCCGCCTGCCGATGTGGGGGACACGAGTTCGTGCCCCGGTCCGAGAGGATCCCACATGCCGCGGAGCGGCTAGGCCCGTGAGCCATGGCCGCTGAGCCTGCGCATCCAGAGCCTGTGCTCTGCAACGGGAGAGGCCACAACAGTGAGAAGCCCGCATACCGCAAAGGAAAAAGGAAAACAAAAAACAAAAAAAAACGCAGACAGGGACCAACCCCCAGTTTCAGATTCAGGAGGTCTCTGGTGGAGCACACAAATTTTCATGTCTCACAAGCTCTGCTGTCCAGGGACCACACTTGGAGAACCACTGGGTTACAGCAGTAGGAGGATTTAGTGATACCGTTCCTCCCTTGACGCGCATTTATATATTGCACTTACATTCTTATAGCACATCTACTGTATACAGTGTCTCGGGCTGGGTGCAGCAGTGGGTATGATAAGGATAGGATTTAGATCTTGATTACACTTGAGCAGATTTATTCTCTAAGTGGATCTATTCTCTAAGAAGACAGGAAGCCTAAGTGCCTTTAGACAGGTTCAGATAAAGCAGAGCTCTCCTCCCTTAGCAAGAGATAAATTAAAGCTTGGAATAGCAGACCCTATGAACTGGGGCCTTGAAAGATGCCTAGGACACGTGGAAATGGTGGAGGATCGCAGAATTCTTTCCACCTTGGCACAGAGAAAAAAACCAAACAAACAAACCTGGACAACCACCTGGAAAAGGTCTGTGACATTCTTGCCTCAGGCTCCAATATCTCTAAGCTGCTTGCATCAGAACGGGGAAGGGTGTTCTCAGTGTCAAGGTCTCTGTCTCAGACTCTTCTTGGGAAGCGGGAGAACTGGCCTAGCCCTCCCTCTGGCGCTCCCAGAGCGGGTGTCTCGGAGACTCGGTTGTCTGGCCGAAGTCTGGGTGTGCGCGGACTTGGCGAAGGGCGCGGCCTGCGCGCTTCAATGTTCCAAAGCCTGAGCAGGGCGCTGTGGCCGGGCCCGTGACGGGCGAGAGGGCCTACACGCTGGAGCATCGTTCAGAACCAGCCTCAGATTCAGGCACGGCGCTAGGGTGGCCGGGTGGCAGCCGTAGTACTCAGCCAACCGGAGGCCGGCGCAAGGGGCAAGGTCCCTCTCTTTCTCCACCTTCATGCTTTGGAGGGGGTGGGGACACGCGTGCACGCTCCTTAGCCCGGAGAAAGCGCGGCCCGCAAGACTGCACAATGCGCCTGCGCGGCCCCGCCTCACCCACCCCGCCTCTTTTCTTCGTCCCGCCCTGTTACCCCCTTATATTGCCGCTAGGGGTAGCGGCGGCGGCTGTGGTCTGAGAGCGTGGCTGCTTTGAGGGCGCGGAAGCCATACGGTGTGGGGACTAGGGCTGGCAAGAGGGTGGGAAAACCGGCGAGAGAGGAGGGCGGTGCCGGGGAAGGGCGGTGCCGGGGAAGGGCGGCGCGTGGCTGACTCATCCCTCTGGAAGATCAGACTGACAGACACAAACCCTTGCCGAACCCGCCCGCCCGCGCCGCTCCTCTTTGGTTGGGAGGCGCCCGCCCGCACTGCCCGCCCGCCTTCTCCGGGAGCGCTCTCCCGGCCCGGCCGCCTCAGAGAAAGTTTTTGTCGTCTGGAGGGACCGGAGGCGCCGCGAGCCTTTGGGAAGGGAAGGAGGACTGAAGAGGAGGCTCCAGCCGCGCGCGCCCGGCGAGTGCATGGTTCCCGGCGCCTCGGCTGCCTGTCAGGAGGACATCGGGGCGGGGTCGGGCTGAGCCCAGCTCCTTCTTCCCGCGGGTTCGCCAGAAATCGCCCTCCCGGACTGCCGCGGGGCGTCCCCGCTCCTCAGCCCGCCATGTCCCGGCTGCTGCCGCTGCTGAGGAGCCGGACCGCGCACAGCCTGAGGCCGGGCCCGGCCGCCGCGCCCCGCCCGCCGTCCTGGTGCTGCTGCGGGCGGGGGCTGCTGGCGCTCGCGGCCCCGGGCGGCCCCCGGGATCTGGGCACCCACCCCAAGAAGGAGCCCATGGAGGCGCTGAACACGGCGCAGGGCGCGCGGGACTTCATCTACAGCCTGCACTCCAGCGAGAGGAGCTGCCTGCTCAAGGAGCTGCACCGCTTCGAGTCCATTGCCATCGCCCAAGGTAAGGGGGGCGCGAGGGGGCGAGCCGGGGACGGAGGGACGGGTGCCCAGAGCCCTCCACTACCCCGCCTGCGCCCCGGCCGCCCGGCCGCCCCTCGGCCTGGTCCCCTTGCCGCCGGCCCCTTCGCTCGCTTGGCCTCGCTCCTGGGACGTCCGGGGGGGCGGGGAACTTTGCGCCTCCTGAGTGTCCCCGGGGCAGTAGGACAGGCGCGGATCGTGCCAGGCAGCCAGGGCCAACGCTTGGCTGGTTCCTCCCCAGCCTCACAGTTGGAGCTAAAGCCCCAATTACCAACCGACGTTGATTTGATTTTGTTTAGATTTGCTGTGCCCCCCGTCCCCCAGCCCTGCTGTCCCCCTGTAGTCCGTGCTGCTTACTTGTGAACGTGCAGCCATGCCGGTGGCCTGCGGTGCCTCCTTCCAAAGCGCTACAAAGCCGAGAGGCAGGGGGAAACTTCGCTAAATGGTTATCAAACGAAGATGTGTCAGGGTCCGAAAGAAGGGATGTTGCTTCGTTAAGGCAGAGGTGTTCTCAGCGGCTTGTTTGCGTACACCTCCAGTTGGATTCATTTAAGCAGTCGAAGGAAACACTTTCCTGGGAAACTGAAAGCGTGGATCAGACCAGCAACAGCAGATGCATACTTGCAAGCCCATCACAGGCTTGGTGCTGCCCAAGTTAGACTCCCGTTTTTGTTGTGCCCCCAGAGGATGAAAGAATGCAGTAGTTAAAAGGTATTTTTCTGGAAATCTGTGGCTCTGCAATAAAAAGCGGACTTCTGCTCAAAAATAATTTGGAATGGTGAAAACCAAGCCATTTTTAAGCTAACCTGTTAAAGGAGGATATTTTTCAAACCGGTGCAGCATGCTGGTATGTCAGAATGTGAGTCCAAGTGAAAAAGCTAAAAAGTCAGAAAATCAGAAGGATGAAAGGGGCCAATGATCAAATCATTCAGCCTTAAGATACTTTAGCCATTTAAATACCGTGATACAGACAGAATACATTGCTGCTGTTTTATGTTATACATTCTGGTGTGTTGGAAAGTGTTTTTTGTTTCTTTATTGTTGTTTAAGTTTACTCCTCCCCTCCCTCAAGGTTGGTAGGTACATAAGCATTCCATAGGTTCCGTAAGTTAAGAGCACATTTATTTGGAGCAAGGCATTTGATCTGCCACAGGCACTTGAAAGCGCTTCTTTGGTCTGTATTCAGGAATGGAGGAGAGAATTGTCTACCTCATAAGCAGGACTTTTCTACACTACTTCTTTAGAAACTTTTTATTAGTTGTGCCTTTTAACTGCTTTTTTTACCTCCGTTCAGGGAATTATGGACCAATTTAGGGATAACTGGTATTGGATGATTCCAGACATTGTCTACCCACAGTGCTTCTATAGGAACAATGTAACATCACAATCAATTCGGTTACTAAATGTAATCACGATATTACATGAAGTCATAATCAGATACTAGCATATTTGTGAGCTATGTGTGCACTCAGTGTGTGGTTTTAAAATATTCACTTCTGAAAAAGTGACCCTTGGAAAATTATAAAGACATTCACACTAGAGCATTAGTTTTAGGAATCTTTCTCCATGGGTAAGACTGTTTGAACACACATTTGGCCTTTTCTAAGTAATTTCTTGGAAATTCTGCATTAACATTGTTACAAGATTGGAGGGCCTTATTAATATGATTTTATGACAGTGCATGAAAAACATGTCCTGTGATACAAATGGATAAATTTTGCCTCATACCTTATTATTTTAGCACATGCCAGTAGGAATGCTACATTTTCCAGTGAAAATGGAAAATGTATTTTTAAATTTAACATGGTTTTAAATATTCTGGAAAGGACCTATATACTTCAGTCAATGGAGATCAGTTAGCGTCAATTAAACTTAATAATACATAAGTTATATGAGAGAGAAGTTGGTAATTTAAGTTGTCTTTGTTCAAGATAAAGGATATAGGAAACAATGGGGTATTCAAATGCTTATTTGACGTAAAAGCTAAAGAACTTCAGAGTTTAAGTCAACTAATTTTGCCAATGTTGATGACTAAATTATTGCTCTTTGACTCAAATGACACATTGATGATGATGGTTTAATTTTTAGTACAGTCTTAGTGTTCCTCATTGTTTTCGATATCAATACATATAGTTTCTATGGAGATAACTGGGATCATCACTAGTAAATTACCCTATTCATTAACCATTTAAGGTAGAGAGGATTTATTATGTTGAGAATGCATACAGCTCATTCTATTGCTGAAATCAATTTTTTCCCCAGACAAATGAAAAATTGCCATGTTTTTCTTTTATTGTTGCTTTTTGAGTGTTTTTAAATGCTCAACCCATGTATTAAATATGTGTGTACTAAGTGCACTTTCTAATGAAATAAATTATGTTAAAAGAGCTGTTTCTTACAATAGGAAACCTTATGTGTTCTTGGAAAGAGTGCTTGCATGATCTAATGAAGTGCTTTGGATTTGGTGTGGAAATATTACAGGAAAAGAAAATCTGTGCTGTGAAATGGAAGTGGGGTCTACTGCTGAAATTTGTTATATTTGCCCTTATCTTTCTTATGTGTTTATCAGTAGGCATTTGATATTGTCTGTGACAAGATAAAGCTTTAGAACCAGTTTGTAATAGATAAGGCAGACTTTGTGGGATGTCTTGTTAATAGTTAAGTAAGATATTGTAATTTTTAAATTACAAACTGATTTCTTTCCTAGTTTTAAAAAAGTTGATGTTCTGTTCTCAATTTATCTGCTCAACCCTCTCTCTATTCTTCCAGAAAGAGTCCATATTCTTCTGAAAGTGCACTGTTGGTTCATTGTTTTTACAAGTAGGACTGGCAAGCTGATGTTATTACTGTTGCCTTTTAATTTTAGCTGAGCTTTTTAAACCAAATTTGTTTTCAAGTTTTGCAGTTACTATTTCTATTTATAATTATTAAAAAAAATTTTAAATACCTATTTGGTTTTTGAAGGATGAGCAGTGCTTATTGCATAGTTAGTTCTACATTGCTGTACAACAAATTACCCCAAAGCACAATGGCTTAAAACAGACATGTATTGTCTCATGGTTTCTGAGGATCAGGTGTCTTGGGGCAGCTTAGGGGGATGTTTCTGCCTCAGGGTCTCTCATGAAGTTGTAATCAAGCTTTCAGCTAGGGCTGCATTATTGAAGTCTTAACTGGGGCTAGAGGAACCAGTTCCAAGAAGGCTCACTCACATGGCTGTTGGCTAGAAGTCTCAATTCCTTGCTGTGTGGGTCTCTCTACAGGGCTGCCTGAGTGTTTCAAGACGTGGCAGCTGTCTTCCTCCAGAATGAGTGATGAGAGAGACACCTAAGCTGGAAGCCACAGTCTTTTATAACCTGGTCTTAGAAGAGATAGTCCATCCTTTTTTGCCCTCATCATACACTGTGGGAGCATACTATGCAGGCAGGGTGTGAATACCAGGAGGTGGAAATCATTGGGGGCCTCATCTTGGAGGCTGCCTTCCACACTTATTTAGATGTTGTAATTAATGCTCATTGGAGAATTACACAGAAAGGTAAGAGCTGGCTTTTGGGGAGGCACAATGAAAGATATGATTTGAAAAAAGGACCTTCTTAGGGAATATTTTTGTTAAATGTTACTTAAAGTATTTTTTAAAATGAGATTCTTTTTATATAGGCAAATAAGGGATGTTTTGGGGGAACAGAGCAGTTTTTCTATCAATGCTAGATCTTTTTTTTTTTTTTTTTTTGTGGTAGGCGGGCCTCTCACTGTTGTGGCCTCTCCCGTTGCGGAGCACAGGCTCTGGACGCGCAGGCTCAGCGGCCATGGCTCACGGGCCCAGCTGCTCCGCGGCATGTGGGATCTTCCCGGTCCGGGGCACGAACCCGCGTTTCCTGCATCGGCACGCAGACTCTCAACCACTGCGCCACCAGGGAAGCCCTCAATGCAGGATCTTAATCAGCTTGCTTTTTTTTTTTTTTGTTTCTCTGTGTAAGTGATAATTGTATATGTTTAAAAAATTTTTTTTACAAAATTTTTTTACCATTTATCTACATCCATATAGATACACCATATAATTCTAAATTTAATCTTGTAGTTCCCCACCGTTGTGATTATTTACTTAAGGTAGCATGAGGAGTTTTGTTTTGAGAACTTGCCATATAGCATACTTAGAATACATAGAAACAAATACGATTTTTTGTGGAGTTCCAGTCCACTAGGGATCTTGGACTCTTAACAAGAGTATCCCCATTTTTCTCAGCTCCTTGTATAGGATTATATAAGAAAGTGGCAGTGCTGTTAAGCTATTAACCTCTAGATGAACTGGAGATAATCTTGGCTTTTGCTCAAAGAGAATAAGAAAGAGGGCAAGAAAACATTTCATACTCCAAATTAAGATTTGTGAGTAAAGATATTTAGGTGCCTTAGTTGAAACAGTAAAAGAGGAATAAAGGAATAACTAGACCTGAAAGAGGAGAAGAACAGGATGAGGATATGAAATATGGATTGAGTCAGGAAGAGTGAGTGATCTCTAATAAGCTGAGAGCTTCTATATCCTGGCCCTGGATAAGTAAATGAAGCTTTGTTACAATCAGTTATTTTACCAATATGGAAAGAATCTAGTTACAGCAGTATATTCCAGCAAGCTTAATTACAATTCTTTAGAATTAATGGGAATGTTGGAGTAGCCCTATAACTAGGGATTACTGCCTAGAAAACAGATAATATAAATAGGAGTTTTTTCTTCCATTACAAAATGGATATATTCTATTTAACAATCTTTAATCATCATTTAACATGTAACTTGAGGTCCAGAGTTATTTGTGACATAAAACAACGACCGTTCCATTATTTCTCATGATTTTGTGGATCAGAAATATAGGCAGGACTCAGCTGGGTGATTCGTCTCTTTCACATGGTATCTCTGGGGGTCACTCGGTAAACGGCTGGCAGATGAGCTGGTCACAGAGTCCAAGATGGCTTCACTCACTTGTCTGGCACTTT